TTTCTAAGATTTGGAATATATTCTTTCCGCGTCTGACAACATCTATATATTTATTGAAGTCAAACAAGCACCTGCTTGACAGTCAATTTTTACAGACTGTAAGTAGATTGATGGTACGGTATACTAGTGTTTATTTATGATATCTGTATTTAGAACTGAAATTGATTTATCGTATAGACTAATAAATCAACAAAATGACTATTTCGTCTTTTAAATCGAACTCAGCTGATATGACAAACACCAACTGACTGCGAATTTCTTAAACTAACAGCTCACTTTAAACCAAAAATACTCTGACTCACTTCTATATGCGGATTTAAAGGTAGCATAATCTACTTGGACCCATTTATACAGTTTTAAGAGTAAGGGTTAGATATGTAGAATTTTATGGGCATATGTATCGCTTTCTTTACTCATTCGTCCAATTTCCAATTTTGGAAAGTCAAGTCCAATTCCAAAACTAGTTGTCCTGATGAGGGTTATGTGCCCTAAACATGCATAGGCACCAGAAAGCTCTGTAAGTTAAAATATCGAGAAATAAGAAAAAAATGTTTACTGTACTGAAACATCGTCCTACTGATCTGTAAATTGAAAAGTTGTTCTGCCAGACTGTTACTTTAAGAAATGGATGAAGGTGAAATGGAGTTTTACGTCCTACTGTTCTGCATCTTTAAATTTATTTAATGAAGATATATTCGTACAAGATAATAAAACGACAAAATAAAATATGTAAAAGAAAGTAATGTATTGTCGTATTATTTTAGAAGTAAACAAGTGAATAAACAACGCTGTTATTTACAATAAATATCTCATGTGGCGGCTACAGCCTCCTGGGACTTGGGGTACAGGGCGAAGTTTAATTTAAGGGGAGGGGGTGGGGGTGATAATGCAGAAGTGTCATAGGCGCAACCTTATCATGGAGCCTCTGAGCACTGACGGCTCCAGTCTCGTGGAACTTAACTAAAATAAGGAGGAGGGGAGGGGGGTGGGGGGCTGCCAAAGTTAATATTTCACACGCAGAAGTGCCATAGGCGTAACTCTACCCTGGACTCTCTTACGGGTTGGATTCGGTACATTTTGACACATACTTTGGAAGAAAAATATATAGAAATCACATTTTGAAATTCGTTAGCATAGAGGGTAAGGTTAGGGATACATTTTTTTCAGGTTAAATGCCCCGTTCCTGTGTACCATTACTAGCGCCGCCACTGAATAACTCGGTTTAATATTTGGACAAAAATGTATAGAAATCATATCTTGAAATTGGTGGGAGTACGAACTTATTTTCAATTCCACACCACCCCGACCCCCAGCCCCGTGTTGGCACTGACGCCTCCACTGAATAACTCGGTTGAATATTTGGACAAAAATGATTATACAAGAATAAGTCATTCTCGTCAAGTTTCTAGTACATGTCCCCACTTAATTTAATCTCTAGTTTCATATATAATATTTCACTATACACGACCTAGATATTCAGGCTAGTTAAATTTATCATCACGAATTCATTATACAGTGAATACAGTATATTATTACCAAGGCTGACGGACCGGTTAGGGCTTTATGAGGTGAATGGATGGAGAGGGGGAGCACCAGAGCAGAGGGAGATGGCTTGGCCTCAAGGGATAAATCCAGTCATATGTGCCACTACTGTACCATATGTTTAATGCCCACATTTCATAACGAAGACTGGCCAGGAAACGTACGGCGTGTGACTCTCGAGGGACTGGAGGACTGAGGGTTTCAGTATGGGCTGTAGGGTGGTGATTTCATATCGTGTGGGGTGGTGGAGGGGTCAGTCTGTATTTTGGCAGGGGTGGCGTTTCAAATCAATATGGCTGTGATATTGTAGGCTATCATATGACCCTAAAATGCTTAGATACGTTTGACTCATTCTTCACGGACTGTAAATGTAATATCTAGAATGAGGTATTTATAACGACCTCTGGCGCTGTCCTCGTATCAGGGATCCATCCTTATTTCCTACAAAATTACTAACCCCCAAGTATGTATGTGTAGGTCTATAACTAAAAAACAAATTTCACCAGTGTTGGGGTGTATTGGTGTTAGCGAATAGTTAAGAACAATAATGTTCTATATTATACGATAGTATGTCATTCAGACCGGTGTTAACGGTGTAATTGGGTTCGAGTCGGGTTCCGCTTTCTTGTCGTGGATTTTAGTGAATTTCCTTTGTGCGTCTGTAAAAGAATTGAGCCTGTGTGGGTTCAGGATGTCCTAGTGAATGGACAAATGACCCGATCCTGTATTTGTATGACCATGTTTGATAGTTTCCTTACGTTTTAAGCCATGCTAAACTAAACTGTCATTTAAATCCGGTCTTCCTTGATCCGGCCTGATTCTAGATTCCGGATTCGCATCCATTGTACGAAGTTATCTTTCTATTAGATATACAGTCAGCGTATTCCTGATTTATTTTGTCATTTCAATATTTCACAATCGTGACTGTTTGGATTTTGTGTTTCAGTAATGTTTCTTGTATTTTTCATTAGCTCAAAGTGTAGTATTAAATATAGTCGAAAAACTCCATCCAGTGTCTTTTACTGCCTGGTTTCTAATCAGGATGTCCGTTATGTAAATGTAGATCTAATGTCATGTGGAATCCAAAACGAAAGTAAAAGAATCAGGTGATCGATAATTGAATTCACATAAAGAATATTTCAGAATGTAATTCCTGTTAGTCGCGAACATAATTCAACTTCAGTAAATCCCTTTTGGAAAACGAAATAATCAACACCACACATCAGCTGATTTCTTTTCCAGGAATTGTACAAAGAACTCCATAAACGAAAACGAAACTAATTCATATTTTTATCACTGACACAAAAATCAGCTGATCATTATGCAAACAATCGCCTTTACGGAAACGAAATAATCGGAAATTTATGATCGGTCAACCAACATAAAGATAAAACAATTAGTTGAGACGAAATTTAAATATTAAAAATCCTTCAAGATAATATTTCATAAGACAAGGAGATTTGGCTATCTCTATTATCAATAGATAAATAAGCCACGATAAGAGTCGTATGGTGTAGACAGTCTTGAGACCTCGACAGGTGATAGCATACAGGTACATCTCTCCACATAATAACGCTGTACCGGCCTTTATTGAAAATTCAAATTTAAACCGTTAAAAGCAGCCGTTAGACCACATAGCGATACACAGTGCACAATTTTCAACCATAGAAAGGCGAGACACTTGCCATTTGATTTTAAACAAGTTTGTTTGTAACGTTTAAATGTTACACATTGTATCGCTATGTGAAACATTGTAGCAAACGGAAGGGGATTTGGTGCAAGCTGTCATATAGACCGGGTATTATCATCTATAATGCACACCTTAGCATATTAAGACATCTTAAGAATGGGGTCCTTTCGCTGGACATTCAAGCCATTTTCCCGAGAATTTCGGTGAGTTCGCTCAATGCAGTGCCCTACCCAACCCTAAGAAATAAAATTTAAGTTCATTTTTCATTAAATTTTAATCAAAATGATCAAGTTTGTATTTAAATACAAAATGGTGTGACAATAATACAAGTGATGCCCGAGGGCATGTATTACTCAAAAAAACATTTTGAAAAAAAAATGATATAAAAATCACTTCTTTGGTGACACATAATTCAACATACTTGGTTAAAAATACAAAATAATAAAAATTGATGGCCCAAATTGGTCGTTGCCATTATTGCAGATATTTGAAAATGCATCGTTTTTTGTAATATAAAATAAATAGGATTATAAATAATGATAATGAATGGATGAAAGTTCGTTATGAATAGTTAAATATTAATTTATAATTGCATAATTTAGAATATAAATAAAAGGAGACCTGATCGAAGTTATTAAATAATGTTAAGGCACAAATGAATTATGTATATAGTAATAAAAATAATACTAGATATTCCGTGAATGGAATAATTATGGTCCCTAGTAGCCACGGTTTAAGGTGGTCTTGAAAGCATAAGGGCGACAATTAAACAATAAATATACAAAGGAATGAGATATAAAATACACTAATTATATACTATGACAATTATAAATAAGAAAAAAAATCAGAAAATCATTCGAGAAAAACACTGAAACGAAAAGTTTTTGGTTTTCTTAACCACGAACGAAAAAATGATTGGTTCTCTTTTTGAGAACAAAATTTAAGTTTCACGACATTTAACAAGATCTCAATAACATTTGGCAGTATCAAAAACAAACGAACTTAGTGAAAAGTCATATACACACCTGTATAGTTTCTATGTATTTCACAATTTCAGTAACCACTTTGGGTTAAAATCGTTGTAATACGAAACAAAAATAGTCTTTATAATAATAATCCAAGGCACAGTTTTTATAATTTACAACTCCTGAGAAAGTCGGTTAAAGATCGGTAATCGCATACCTCTGCTAACTTCCATGGGAGAATTACAGGTACCAAAACCATTGCTACTACCACTGCCAACACTGCTAGAAGATCCAACACTTAATCCAGATAGAGAATCGACCGGAGATGTAGATGGAACGGCGTCGTTGTAGGTCTGGCTCTCACGGAACACTTGGGAAAGGAAGCTTTCATCGAACACATTTTGGTTGGCGTCGTATTTCTGTTGGTTTAGATTCATGCCGGTGAATTGGTGTTGAAGAGCGGATATGTCGTTGTTGGTGCTTGTCTGCACGTTCAATGGCGTCATCCAGTCTAATTCTTGAGAGTTGAACACGGGGCTGGAACGGGAACTACCGGAGCTGACACTCTGTTGGGTGTTTGGTGAGAAGCTAGTGTGGTTGGCGCTAGAGAAGATATCGTCACCGGATCCAAAGAAAGATGGAGAGAGTGTAGTAGGGCTGACGTTGACACTGGAAGATGGAGAATCGAGAGAAGATCCCAGGGAAGACAAGCTGGTGAATTTGATGGAATTTGGTCGTTGGATAACTCCGGGATGTTGTACCATGGCTGCAGCTGCAGCTTGTTGTTTCAGTACCAATTTACGTTCTTCCTCGCTGTGGATAAAATGACATCTTGGACCATATGGACAGAAACCAATTGTGTGGAAGGTTCGGCATAAATCGGTCTTGTATTTGGGATGACGAGCAAGATTCTGTAATTCTTGTTTACCATGGGCGAACTGACACTTATCACCATATTTACAATGTCCATTTTCTTCAAAGGGTCGGCACAGTTCGGTCTTGTATCGGGACGAATTCACATTTGCACTGGTACCGGTGGCGTTCATTACAGTTGGGGTAACGTTTCTGATGGTTTTCTCACAAGGTTCGCTCCAGCTTCGATCTAATTTGCGATGATTGTCTGTGGGTAGCATATTCATTGTGGAGGGAGGCACGATCGTGGAGGAATAGTTAGAATTAGCATTCACCGGAACAAAAGCACTGTTTCCATTGCTGAATGTGCCGATCTGGAAATTTCTGTTTCTGATGGGAGCACCGACTGCTAGATGATCATTCATTATGTGATTCTGAAAATACAAAATAAGGAATCATAAGTAACTTGTTGTAATCAAATTCTGACATCAATGGTGTATCCTTTGGATTCGCCAAGCCATATGGAGAGTCAAGATAGTCTTAGCATCGTGAAAGACGAGAATGACACTGTCATTTGTCAGTTGTTTACGGCAGTTCAATGAAGACTATTGTACTACACAGTATTAAACCGCAGACATCAGCTGTTCCGACTCTTACAAATTGCGTCGATATTTAAAACGAAATGAATTTTAAACTTAGCATACCTGAACTGAATTATCCAAATCGTATCCGAGATGAGAATAGTGAGACATTAAACTTGTAGACATTTTGTAAAATTTGCTGTTGTAATTGTACTCCTATCCTTGGAAGTCACAAACTTGTACTGTCGATTGTAGCTGAGCGGACGGTATTTATCCAACAGTGGGCGTGGTTTATTTATCTATACAATTGACAGCGCGCGAGAAAACTCTGAGTCAAGGTTGTGACGATTAAGCCCCGCCTCTCAACGCTGATTGGCTGAGACGACAACAACAACAAAGAGTCGATCCCGTCTATCGAATAGTACTTTGTTTAAGGGATTATCGTGTAGAGGAATTCACGCTACGTTCCAATACACTTCTATTATATGTTTATAATCGGCCCATCTTCACATTCCTATTGGTCCATTCCAGCACAATGCCACTGACTGAAGAAGATTTTAGGGGCGTGTCCTATCTCCTTTCAACATGTGCTCAATTCTTTTCAAATTGTATTAAAAAATTAATGTCATAATCGTTTTTTGTTGCGACTTTCTACAGAAATTCTAGTCGCGTTATTCTGCCCTCGTGTAGTTTTACTTTATAAATTTTAATAATATTTATGACTCCATTTTGGTATTTTTGTTAATTATCAAGAAAAATGAGTTTTATTTCTAAGAAATAAGGGGACGAACTTCGTCTTGAAATATTCATAACCCATTTTCTATTTCAAAGTATTTCGCAATATATCTGTTGAATACATTAAGTCACGTGTGATAATTTCCCGCGTTTTCCAGAAAAGGCGCGTAAAACTGGGCGATATTGATGTAAGCGAGGTTTACTAACCGCATCAGTCATTATGTGGTATGTACTGATAAACTTCATCAGTGTGTGGTTCGACATTCATTCGTTTTATTCATCCCAAAAGGGTTTTATTCATTCGATTATAAGGTTTCGAGCTATGAAAGGGATTCATTTATCCCAATTTCGTTTCAAATCATTCTTTAAAGGGTTTCATTCATTCTTTCTAATGGGTTATCTTTCTCTTTCATTCATTCTGTTATTAGGCTTCATTCATTCATTTTGTGTCGACTTTTCTCACTTCATCGACAATTCGAGTATTTCATTTATTTCAGCTTTTTTTTTATCTATCGTCTCTATAAACTCATTCATTCATTTATACTTATTTTGTTCTCTCACTCTCAATCCGAATTCGTTTCATTCATTCATTCTACGGTTTAATTAATTATCTCTATTTCATTTTCCCTAATTGCACACTTTATTAATAATGATTTATTTGAATAAATTCATTTCGCTTATTTTGTGACCTTTGTTAATTTGACTATTTCGCAATTCTGGACCATCAATGACTAAGTTTTATCTTCTATGACGTAGCTAAATGAATTACTACTAGAACAAAACTAATTTAACATCAAACTATCATATCAATTTTACTGACCTATTTATTTCGAACTATTTATAACTTTCTAGTATAATGTGTTATTTTATGTCATACATGGCTATACATGATATATTTACACGGCGTAGTAAGCGTTTATCGATTTTAATATAACACCGTTTACCATACGTTATATTCCATTCTTTCAGTGACACGAATAAGATACGATGGAAATTTCCGCTCAGGTTGTGTTTTTGGATTTAACTTTATATTTTCCAAAACTACGTTGAATTTATGAATGAAAAGTGTTCCGGTATACGGAAATCGACTGATTTGTCGCTTTTGATGTTCTGAATAATTCATTGTATGAACTGAATACGTTGGTTTCAAACTGAGATCAAAGGCATTCGTTTATTTACAATCTATAAATATGTAGTTTCGCATGCTATTGTTGTACACTCTTTAGACTGTGGCGATTTGGAAATACATGCAATGGGGAATAGGGGGATTTTGCTATGACTAAATATGAGGACGTGAGAGTACACGAACTAAGGATCGTTTGCTTCCGAAAGCGATGGTAGAGACATTGAAATGGAGTTATTGCTATAACGTTCATCAACTTTGATTGGTATGAACATTATATGATCCAGAATCTGCCGTTTCTCATCGATGTCTACAAGATGTCAAAAGTTATGACATACTGACAAGTGCCCCCTCCCCCTGGGTCATATTTATCCAATCTCTCATTAATTAAGAGATGTATTAATTAATACAGAGATGATGTAGTCAGATACGACTGGGGATGTCAACATAATAAGATTCATAAATCATCGTCATTTCAATAATCCACTTGTAACTTCTTAACACATACACCTCTAGACCGCAGGCATCTGACAACAATTTCAACATGGGACCACAGGCATCTTTACTAAACCCCTTCACTTGACCACAGGCATTTGTTAAATCTACACCTTACAAATTGAAAACCTTATTTTGGATTTTGTAGCTAATATGATATAACTCGTAGTAAACTAGTTTTTGTATGGAAGTTTCAATCCGAATCATAGTTTTGGTGAGTCTAAGCGTAATTTGACCGAATCCCTAAAATCAATCAATCTGTTTCATCGATTTTTGATCGATCGTATTTTGTATTGCATGCAAATCCCTAAAATGGGCCAATTTTCATCGATTTATATTTTGGCAGGAAAATTAGTTACATTATAAAATAATATGTTCTGTCAGGTAAAAGAAAAGTGTAAATTGTCAATGATAATTATAGAATATGTATAATGATGGACGGAAATTAGGGAATAGTTAGACCTTGATTAGTGTATAGTCAAATATCGCATTCATACTGTACACCTATCACGACCTAATTAGGGGAGAGTAGGGGCTAATCAGTCAGTAGGGTAAATAAGGTGTACGTTCAATCTGAATAATTTGCATCCAATGGTGTGGTACATTACACCTGACCCCCTACTGACAAATTATCGTTTCTTTCTCTCGCTGACACGAGATTTTGTGATAAACAAGCAATTTTTCGTCAAAGAATTTCCATAATTAATGGGATTAATTGAGAAAAGCGAAGGATGAAGAATGGATGAAATAGTGACACGTCGTTTAAAACAGGGATTCAATCTAAAGTTACATTCCGATACATGGATATCGATCTCTTTCTACAACCCCCTTTTCTCACTTCATTCATTGTTCAGGGGTTTAATATTAGATTGAATCCATTTTAATTACATGGTACAAACATGACGGCATTATTCGTAGATTTTGTGATATCTCATCTTAGGAATTTTGCTTTTGTTTTGTAATTCACAGAAGTAGCCTAACAAATTCTGAAAATTAATGATTTATTCAGCTTTAAATATACATTTTTCCGAAAAGACTTTGACTTGGGTTTCCATTCGTAATGAATTATTGCATCAAAAATCCCGAACTTTTCCTTATAATTAGTTTAGGGTTTGTCCAGTTGCGTAAAAACGGCATCGCGGTTGCGGAAAGAACTTTTCCATATTATAGAGGCGTCCTATGTTGGCTTTACCTGAGATATTAAAAGACAATTAACCCTGTATACCCCTACCTGTATATTACAGGTAAATATTAACTAAATTATTAATAGATTTTATGCTTTATTTTACGATCCAATTAGAAATTTATGTGAAGCGTCGTAAAATAGGGTCGATGCGGATATTACATATTATATAAGGTACAATAAGGGCAATAATGTCTATAAACCAGGGGATACGGGCTAATATAGTAACATGCGGTTTTCATTTGACATTGGCGAGAAATGTCACCGTACCCATATGGAAGTTATCGGGGGTATATCGGGTCACATCGTTTTTACTAAATAACTCTACACCACGGATTATATATTAGATATAATGCACAGCTTCTAGTACTGACGTAAAATTTACAAGCCGATTACGCCGCTGACAGCTACCTAGAGTAGTAATGCATTACACGGGGCCTGCTCGTACACCTGAGGGGTCCGGAAATCTATTGTGGGGTTATGAATGAAGTTAAATAACGTGATGCGAGACCTAGCGGGATTTCACAATAGTTCGAATGAATTGGCAGGTCTCAAAATTCGTTAAGGGTGCGGGGGCCATTCACTCTTTTATTTTTCTCCATTGCTAAATAGCTGGATCGCGTTTCACCAAACAAACGTTTTGGAGTCTGACATGCTTTCAGAAGATGTTAGCGTAAACATTTATAAATCTGTCAAAATTTCTTCAGATTCCAAACAATGGCGTGGTCAAATCTGTTCTTTGGATAAATAAATGAAACAAAATTTAATCTAGAATTTAAAGAAAGCGGAATGTGGTTTTTTTAATATTTGATAAAATTATATTTTTATCGTATTCAGAACGTTTTGTCTTGCAGGTGAAGGATTGTGAAGACAAATGAAATGATTTTGACACTTTTAGTGTTTTTGTTTTTCCTCTGAACCAGTGTTTTTGGTGAGAGAGGATTGTGGATATTTTCTGCCTTTTGCACGGTTACATGTAACGATAATTTTTGAAATTAAAAATGAAATAAAATGTAGGACAATTAATTTAAAACAATTAAAATT